AACCAGGCAGGATTTAGGAGGCTTTATCCACACAATGGCCTTTTCTTTCCTACTAACCACTTTGAGAGCTTTAACCACATCCTAGCTGCAGCAGAGGACATTGTGTCTGAGTGTGCCATGTTCCACGCCTCAATTGTTGAGGTGGCTGCTTTTAACTGTGGCCACAAGGTTGTCGGTGCTTCTCGTTGTGGCCATCTTCTAAGTCCTCCTCTTGGGCCTTGTTGGCTGGCGAGACTGCGGCTGAGGAGTACCAGAGGGCCAAGGGGGTCACAGCCTTGCCTGTTGCTGACGCAAAAGCTCGGATGTGGGAGGAGTTCGGTGAGGCCTTGGATAGACACTCTCCATCGGCTCCAAGGAAATTCTGGCAAACCATCAGGAGGCTGAGGAGGGGAAAGCAGCACTTTACTAACAATGCGTTCAGTGAAGGTGTGGTGCTGTTGACTTCAACCAGTGATGTCATCAGGAAGTGGAAGGAATACTCTTTGAATCCCATCAGCACATCTTCCATGGAGGAAGTTGAATCGGGGGACTTCGGGGTTAGTCTGTCCATAAATGTGGCTGAGGTCACCTAGGTAGTTAAAAAGCTCCTCGGAGGCTCCGAGGGTGGACAAGAGCTACGCTGATTTCCTTAAGGCTCTGGATGTAACGAGGCTGTCTTGGTTGACATGCCTTTGCAACAAACCTCATGTGGGCATCGGGGGCAGTGCCACTGGATTGGTAGAATGGGGTAGTGGTTCCCCTCTTCAAAAAGGGGAACCGGAGGGTGTGCTACAATTATAGGGGCATCACTCTCCTTAGCCTCCCTGGTAAGGTCCATTTCCGGGTAATGGACAAGTGAGTCCAATCAATGGTCAAACTTCAGATCCAGGAGGAACAATGCGGGTTCCGTCTTGGCTGCAGAACACTAGACCAGGTCTTTATCCTCACTAGGCTCCTCGAGGGGTCATGGGAGTTTGCCTGTCCAGTCTACATGTGTTTTGTGGACTTGGAGAAGGCATTTGACCATGTTCCTTGGTGTACAGGTGGTACAGGTGGTTGAAATGAGTTTCCTCCAAAGGGTAGCTGGACTCTCTCTTCGAGATAGGGTGAGAAGATCAGTATTCTGGGAAAGACTCAGAGTAGAACCGCTGCTCCTCCACATCGAAAAGAGCCAGTTGAGGTGGTTTGGGCATCTGGTAAGGATGCTCTCTGGGCGCTTCCCTAGGGAGGAGTTTCAGGTATGTCCAACTGGGAGGAGACCTTGGGGAAGACCCAGGACATGCTGGAGAGACCTTGCTCTTGGTTGACCTTGGAATGTCTTGGTATCTTCCCAGTAGAGCTGGAAGAAGTGGCAGTGGAAGGAGATGTCTGGGCCTCCCTGCTCAAGCTGCTGCCCCCGCAACCTGACTTTGGAGCAAGTGGAAGCTAATGGCTGGATGGAGCTCAAAGCACACAAGACATGCATCCTAATGATGTTAAAAAAAGACCCAGTTCAACATCAAATTTATCAAGATACATTCCACAAACATCTACCGGTAATTGCTTAACCAAATGCAAATTTGTCTTGATACAAACAAAAATAAAAACACTAAGAAAACAAGAAACCTGTTGTGAATTTATTGACTTTTGCAAAGAGAATCTCTGACCCTGCTGTCGAGTGAGTTTATATCTAAAATAAAAGATTTTATTAGGATCCTGTAATATAGCAATATGTATATCAATTCTTAACACGTGTCCTACAACCTTTATTAAAATTGAAATTCACAAGTAAACAGCAGAGGTCTTTGTGTCTTTATCCATTTTAGAGGGAACTACAAAAAAAAAAAAAAAACTTTGACATGGAGCTCATGAATTAGATTTTAAAAAACCAACATAAAACTAAGGCTTTTTTTAAAGACAATTATTTTTGTTTGTTTTTACTGGCTTCATTGCAGAGCAGGGTGTAATGAAAGACAATGACATGAGAAACATTACAGTTAAAAAAGTCAGTACAAAGAGGTACAGTTCAAATGTTTCAAACAAATCAGATGAAATGAATGAGAACAGAGCAGCTGAATGTTAAGACCATGATATTGGTGGGACCACATCAGACAGCCTCAACATAGTGCTGTTAAATCTAAGACGCTGAACTTAGAATTGCACTTTTTCCCCATTTAAAACATTACAAACAAACAATATACAGTATATCATTAATTTCGATTGTTAAATTACAGCCTTACTACTCGTGTAGTACCAGTTTTAGAAAGTTATACCTTTTTATTTACTTTTTTAATTTTTGGCCATAAAATACAATTTCCACACAATTCCTAAGACAAAACTAATTCCCTCATAAAACTGAAAGTAAACATATAAAACATGTCCTACAGAAAACTTGCTTTACATATTAAAACACATGACTGACCTGTTGACTACAAACAAAAGTGTTACAAAGCTATACCATATTAAGTTAAACACATCTCTCAAACAACTTAAGAAAAATGTAAAATATTAAATTTCAGTCCTTTATGGTTACATTTTAAATGACTAGTATGATTAAAAAAATAGTATTAGTAGTCTTATATTTTTTTAATGACCAAGAGTAAGGTTCAGAATAAACTTTTGCTACCATTGCTTTAATATGTAAAGAGGCAGAACTCCCCCAAACAAGTTGCCATTCCTCATCATATGCAGGGAAAGGAAAAAGGCAGGAAAAAGCCACTTTGCCTCTTTTAATAAACACTATCACAAGTTAGTGTGTCACTACTGCAGCATAAAATCCTGTCTGAGGAGATAACGAACGAGAGCAAGGCGCTCCACCAGTGCCTGAAAAAAGTTGCTTGAGATGTGTGGGAGGCATATTTTTTTTTAGTTCAGTAAAAACATTTTCATGAATTTCCAAGGAGTGTTGATCAACAGCATGCACCAGAGGAAAGCAATAACAGCAATATGGCAGTACACCTTTGCATCCATCAACCTACAGCAGAAATATTAGGTTAAAGTTTTTTCGGTGTCCCTGAAATGAGAGGTGTAACAGTCAAGACCTATGAAGCAGGACTTGAGATGATTTTTTTCCTTCTATGATTATTTAGCAGTCAGTGCCAAATAAACTATCCATCCATCCATTTTCTTTACCCGCTTGTTCCATTTTGGGTCACGGGGGTCGCCGGTGCCCATGTCCAGCAATCGCTGTGCGAGGGGCGGGGTACACCCTGGACAGGTTGCAAGTCCATCACAGGGCCACACAGAGACAAACGAGACAAACAACCATTCACTTTCTCACTCACACCTAGGGACAATTTAGAGTTACCAATCAGCCTAACATGCATGTTTTTGGTCTGTGGGAGGAAACCAGAGTACCCGGAGAAAACACACGCATGCACGGAGAGAACATACAAACTCCACCCAGAAGGCCCCTGGACCGGGGTTTGAACCAGGGACCTGCTTGCTGAGAGGCAGCAGCTCTACCAGTTGCGCCACCGTGCTGCCTCCAAATAAACTGGAGGAAGCTAAACATTAGCTTGTTAAATGTTATTTTAAACAACAAAAAGGAACCCCACCCAACAGTGCACATTAGAACAAAACTAAATTATTTGTATACAATATTTGAGACATGTATTTAGGAACTGTAGATTTAAAGGTTTAGAAAACCGATAAAACCAGGTTTTCATGCTTTACATAACTGAAATTATTTTAATGTGAGTAGAATTCTCTGCAGAACAATTTACCAATACATATGAAATTAACAAATGTTTGTAAATGTCTTTTTGAAAATAAAAATGCGACTAGCTTGCTGCAATAACAATGATGTAATTTTTTACAGTCTTAATGCAAAGCACACTTTTAGTGATGGAAAAAAAAAAATTTTTTTTTTGTTTGGGCTCCTTTCCTTAGGGGTCACCACAGCGAACTAACTTGCACGAAGACTTGGCAATTGCTTTTACACCGGATGCCCTTCCCGACACAACCACAGACCATTGAGCTACCACAGCCCTCTGTGTGGAGCAGAGAGCTGCCATCTAGGGCGCCTGGTGGAGCAGGTGGGGGTTAAGAGCACTGCTCAAGGACCCAGAGTGGGGCAAATGAGGGTGGAGGCAGGTGTGGGTGATTCACTTTTCTCACCCACATTTAGATGTTGTTAGTTTGGGGAGTCAAACCAACGACCTTCCGATCACAGGCTCACCTTCTCTAGATCTGCACCCCCCCCCCCCCTGCCCAACCCTCTTGTGATGGAAAAAAATATCTGACATGTTTTTACCAAACTACTAAACAAAATTTATTTTTGTTTTCCTCCCACAGACCAAAAACATGAATGTTAGGCTGATTGGTAACTCTAAATTGTCCTTAGGTGTGAGTGAGAGAGTGAACGGTTGTTTGTCTCGTGGCCTGTGATGGACTTGCGACCTGTCCTGGGTGTATCCCGCCTCTCAAACAGTGATGGCTGGACATGGGCACCAGTGAACCCCTTGACCCAAAAAGGAAGAAGTGGGTAAAGATAATGGACAGATGGATACTAAGCGAAATTATTCTTACTACCAGAGCCTGAAAAATTAGAGAAATGAAAAAGATCTATACAGTCAAACAATCTTTCATATATAAAGCTATCAGAGCAACAGCATAAGTTTGTGTAACAGGACCAACAGAATTAAGTCTACAACGTTCACTTACTTTACTGTGCTAAAGACACATCAGATCTTATTGTCCATTAGTTTACATATGGGCTTTTGCCAGACTAGGAATACAAGGACCAGTTCAGCCAGAGCCAGTACTTCCTGATAATATGAAATGTTCATAAATTGAGAAAGAGCTTAGCTGTAAATTTGATACTGAGAATTAAAATAACAAGTTTAACATTCCATTTTTCAAAAATGGTCCACCAATTGTGTCTGTAAAAAAAAAATTGCTGTATTGATGTGTGTGTGTGTGTGTGTTGGGTGGTGTGTGTGTGTGGGTTGGGGGGGGGGGCTCCTTGGATAATGGTAGGCAAAACACTGTATGGTTTTCTTTCTTTTTTACACGAGGCCACATTACAGCTGCACTTATACCTTTCAAAGTGACTCAAGGGGTCTCTGGTCAGATGTGCAGGGTGCTCCACCAGCAGAGGGGGCGGAGCCTCAGAGATCCCACTTCTTCTTTTGTCACTCACACATGCTCCTTAAAGACACAAAAGAGATGGATATATAGGACGTGTTAAAGTAGCGCACACACAGGAAAGAAGGCATTTTACTTTTTAGGCAGTCATAAAATAAGATGGAGAAAACCATCTCCTAAAAACAGTTGATTAAGTTCAAGTTCAAGTTTATTGTCATCCACATCACATGTGGTACATGAGGTGGGATGAAACTGAGTACTCAAGGTCCCAGTTACAGCCAAATATAGCAAAAATATAAAGTATAAAAAAAGAAACAGTATATAAGGACCTAAGATATACACTAAGATATACGCTATAAACAAACACCAAACAGTACTCTACAAGATCTAAGATATACGCTAAACACTAATAATGTATAACAATACGGAGTATCAAACAGCAGCCCGAACATGATTAATTTCTGTACCATAAAAGAATAAAGAGAGCAGGGATGCTTATTTTTAATAGGAAATGTTCTGACTACACCAACAGTGGTCTCTGAAAGGCTTTAAACTTCCTGGTTATCCACTTGTGTCCTTTATAATGCTTAATTTTAGTTTGATATCACAAGCAGTACATTACCATACAGTTAAACTTGTTAAACACAAGGTTAACTCTATGGTAACTGTCAAACACTGAATCTTTGCACAACTTTTAAAAAGCCAAATCAAACCAAAAACATTCTTACAAGTTTTTTTTTTAATTGGAGGTGGGGGTGAAGGGGCAGCAAAACAGATGACAAGTGGATGTAGGGGGAGACCGCTTTAATGTGGATGGACAAATGTTGAATTCCAAGAACTGCTCACTTCACTAGATTAATGGACCGTTTAAAAAAATCCATTGAGATTAGATGCAAGTGAAAATGATTCAGTGTGCGTTTATGAGCGTATGTGTCTGTCGCCCTTCAATCTGGACTTTGGCCTATTTTATAGCCAAGTCATCATTCTTGTCCGCCATGACTTCATAATTCCAGTCTGCGTATAGCATGAGTGTGTTAAGTTTGTATTACAAGAGCCATTCCATAAATCTCTTCCCGCCAGCCCACACATTTCTGCATTAGTGACTGTGAGGAGGGTGCACTGCAGTGCAGGTATGCATCAGCTTATGAAGGGTTCTGGCCACCAAAGGTGCCTGCCTGTTTCATTCTGAGTGAGTCATCGTTTCTTATCTTCTCCTTCCTTTTTGTCTCCGTCTTAACATGCATCGTGAGCACTTTCTTTTTAAAAATGATTTTTTTTACCCCCACCCCCTGCATTAAACTACACAAATGTTGAGCGAAATGTAATCCATCTGCAGATTGGAAGCAGGAGGAGCTAAGCTTCTATAAATACTCGTTTGATTCCTGTGACAGTCAAAATCAACCTACAGAATCATACACAATGCTGCAGTTCAAGTAGCAAATCATCTCTGCTTTTGTCTGCAGTGTAAACCTCTTGATCTCCTTGTTTTTATTTCAGCCTGTCTCACAATGTATGAGAACTAAATGTCACTGCAACCAAAAATAGTAGGAAAGGCCAAAAATTTAAAGGTCAAGACATTAACTGAATAATTATTCTGCACATTATTTTAACTTAAAAAATTAAATTATATTAAGATACACCATGATCTAATATGTAAGTTTCTTTAGGCAGAAGAAAAAGCTGGCTGGCCTTCCAATAAATTTACCTAATTTTTTTCTGAAACTAGTTAAGCATTATCATATTACGTTTCTGACAATATGCCTTAAAATATGTAAAAGAAGACGCTATTGCTGTAAAATAGACCGGATATCACAAAAAACAAGGCCTGTGTCTGTACAACCAAATTTGATGCTGTAATGCTTAAAATGATGATGCAGCAACAGAATGATGCAGATCTAACAGTAAAGCCTTCCTAAGTGACCAACACCCATGTGAGCATTCATGCTTGCTCAATGTGGGTCTGCAATTTAAACCCCCAACGCCCTAGTTGCCTTCATAGTTGCAGCACCAGCATTAAAAAAAATTGAGAATGAAAATAAAGGCTGTGCGTTCCAAATATGTTGGGAGCTATTAAAATGATGGACAGTGACTTTTATAGAAATTACTAAAACACAGACAGAAGGCAAGTATGCAGACTCAAGAGTATACTAACATGAAAATGACTGTCTTTGAGCAAAGACAAAATACTGATAACCGTGTTAGCACTTTGAGCAAACATGATTCATTTATAACCTGTTGCAATTTACATTTGTGTTCCATGAGGCCTTTATATGTCATGTAAATGTATACATGATTAATGTTGTAAGGGCAAGCATAAACAATCTGATAACAATTCTTTCCTAAGACATTGGCCATACACTGAGTGACCTTTATAATCTTGGTCAATTTGTGTCCAATTTAGGATTTTAAAACATCTTGAACCTACAAAATTTACAATCACTTTATAAGAAACAATCAATTTACAAATTGAATTCACTAAACACAGTTTGAACATTTTAAAAAGTAACTTTATACATTTCACAATATTTTTCCTTGTATAACAAAGCTAAATGGGGTTTGGCCCCATAGCCAAGTAATCCCAAATCAAGAACTTCTCAAGAATCATGGATCAATGCAAAAAGCAAAAAAACCTCATTCATCCCTGTAGCGATCACTTCTCAATGAACAGTGATGATTTCTGTACTGTTATTATAATGTCTCAATGTCTTGTCAAGTATGGATGTTTTGTGTGCCTACTGACTGTGAAACAAATCGCCCCTTGGGATAATAAAGCTTCTTGAACTTGAACAAAGTAGATCATGAACCATGGATAAGCTGGATGAGACTGATTTGTTTACTGCTGTGAATTTATTTTAATGCCTTAAATTCTCAAATCAAAACATTAACAATAAAAGACTTCATGTTATTGCCGATTAAAAACCTAAACCAAAAAAATCAGACCACAAAAAAAGCAAGAAACATTTGAATAAATTTAATCTGAGGAAAATAACAAAACAAGTGTTGTGTATAAATAATAATTTATATAGCAAATACCCTGAGATTAATATCCTGATGCACGTTCAATAATCCAGGTAGAAAAATCTAAAAAAAGTTAAATCTGGTCCTCTGGACCCTGAGTTTTACAGTTATTATATAGAGCAACACTTGTTGCATCTCCGATACAGCTATATTCCCGTTTTTGTCAAGTCTAATTTATTAGTATTGCACATTTTATACTGCATCTATGCAGTAGTATCCAGCTGCGTACTAATGTTGCAATTGAGTTATTTTAACAAATGCCTGGGCTCCAATCATCCCACCCAACTCTCATTTCATTCTCTTATCAACACAACACTCCCTATTAATAATCTATAAGCCTGCAGTCTCTTCTTCTGCACAAGCCTCTTTTCCATTCAGTTCAGGTCGACTAAGGAACCGACTAAGTTCCTGTCATAAATCTAAAAAGCCAGAGACTGAGGCAGACAAACAAATGCAAAAGCGAGGAGGGGCTCATTGGCAGACAAATGAAGAAATCTCAGCTAGCAACTACAAAACCTTTTTTTCCCCAGCTAGACCAACTAGCCACATCCAAATGTTAAACCCCTCCAGTTCTTAAGACTCCTAGAGTACGGCAAAGAGAAGAGGTGGGACTGGTCTCTTTTCTGAAGACTGTGCAACAGCATTCTCTGAGGACAGCATTTTCATATGTGTGCGTTTGGCTCCCAGCCAGGGTTTCTGTACGTGTTATACGACACTGTTTGTAGCTTATGTTATAACAGAGGGAGTCGAATGCTGACATCTTTGGTATTAGTAACAACAAACAGCACCGTGCCAAACCCGGGCCAACTGGATTCCCTCCTCCTTCCAGTCATCGCTTCAACCCACTGCTCTCTCAAACACCTCATGCCTCCAACAATGTGGAACAAGGGGTAGCCCTGCAGTCCATGAGTCCATAGTCGAGTCCATGCTAAACAGGGACAAGAGGAAAGGCAACAAAAGATGACAACAACCCTATCACAGGGAACTGTAGCCACAGCTCCCCTATTCTGACAGATTTCCAGGGGAAGCCCATGGAGAGAAAAACAGGAATGCCAGGAATAGAGCATGTAGAAAACATGTATGAGGCACAATGGTTAGGTTTTCAGTGCAGTTGTCATTTGAATTTGGAAGATGGGGAGTGAAGAAAGCTGAATGCCTCAGCTCTATATTTACTAACTCAAAAAGATCAACAAAAATAACATTAAATGTTTGTATTTTTTGTGACAATACCCAATAAAAAGGATAAAAAACTATAATTATAAGACAATAACCCAACTAAAATGAATCAGACATAGCCCTAGGTATTAAATGTTGGAATCAGCCCTAAAGTAATTTGGTACGCCCAGCCTAGATACAAGTTACACAACCTAATCACTACATCTAGAAAATAAGCAAATAAATTGTGTGAAAAACGTTCAAACCGTTTTCACATTCATTCAATTTATTTCTGAGTGAAGTGTAAAAACCATAATCGGACGAGTTTATTCAGGTGGTTTGTGTCTGTTTCAAAAGAGGAAATGATACACACCAGGGAAGTGGAAACAGCAATTGTGAATCATGTCTGACCAGGCATGATGTGACCCACCAGCTGTTTCCAGTCTGACCTGGCACAGTTTTACCCACATGACTGACTGACTTCTGAGATTTAAAAATATATCCTCAAAAATGAATTATTTTGAAGAATAGCTTGTACCATTTTTTGGGGGATGTCCATTAAAATGTTTTTTTGTGTGTGCTTTGTTTATGGTTAAACTAACTTCAGAATTAAAAACACTTACCTTTCAAACTCCCTGCACAATTTTTTGAACAAATTTAGGGAAAAAGCTGTTTTGCTGTTTTGTTTGTTGAATGGAATCTTGTCTAAAGTCACATTTTCCTTAGATGAAACAGGTCAAAATCATGGCCCGTTTTACTTTTCGAAACAAGAATTTTCTGGAACCTGCGTGCCTATATCCTTTTATATTTACTCTGCATAAGCAAAGACTGACAAGGTAGGAAAAGGAAGAATGAAGAAACAAAGGCAGACATGAAAGAACAGTAAAAGA